GGCGCTGCCGGCGGCCAACAGCAGCAGCAGCAACGCCGGCGGCCCCGGCATCTCGCCCACGGCGCGGCCCCAGGGCCAGCTCTCGGGTCGTGTTCTATCCGTTCGTCCGTCCGCCCGTCCGTCAGTCGGTCTTGCTTCCCTCAGATGCCTCAGCGACACCCGCGCCGGCTGCTCCTAAGCACACGTTGCTTCAGCCAAACCTCAGCCCGGCTCCTGGTCCGCACCTGCCTCCCCGGCCGCAGAAACACCATCCTTCCCGCCCACCTGCGCCGCCGCCGCCGCCTCTCAACAGCAGCAACGGCAGCAACTCTGCGGAGCCCCGGGCCCGGGCAGCCGCGCTCCAGCCGCCATGATGGGCTGCGTCATGTGACGTACGCGGGGCGGGACGCCGTGCTAGACAGTCGGGCCGGCCAATCATCAGTCCACACCGGCCCGGGGGCCCCGCCCATCATCCTAAGGGAGGCTAGGCGGCCGCCGGCGCGCCCCCTGCAGACCGAGTGCATGAACAGCAGGGAATACCGACACACTTTAAATTTAAAAATACGGGAAAATGTAAAGACTATAAAAATCATCCTGGTTTTTTTCTCTGTATTTTATAACATGCAAAAATAGGCCTGTCTTGTCTTCTGCCTTTTTTGCTTGCCAGAGCCGTTTTAGGCTCTTCTCCTTAGGTTGATCTACACACCCTATCAGCCATCAAGGAGCTTTGGGCTTTTTATTTCAATTCAAGAACAAAATGCCTCTCCCCTCCTCACCCACTGACTCAGCTTCTGAGCTCTAGCTGATCCCTCTGCCGAGACTGCCCTTCCTGTCTCCTGTCCACCTGGCAGACACTCTTCCTTTCATATGTCAAGACTCACCTGGAGTATGACTTCATCGACGAAGTCATCATAACTTTACCCACAAAAGCCCCTCCCCAAACCCCAGGAGAAATGACTAGTATTTCCTAGTGGCTTGCCGTGGCCTTGTACTGAACATATCCCAGCTGCCATATTATATTGTTTCTGTGCTTTTAAGCTCCTTGAAGACAGCAACTGTGTCTGATTCAGTTGGGAGTCCCCAGGGCTGGCTCGGGGCCTGCCTCAGAGTAGGTAGGTGTTGTGTAAAGGAATAGTGCCTGGTCCTTGTCCTGGATGCTGGGGAGGAACAGCTCCCAGGCGCAGTCTTCTCACCAAAAGATGAGGTGAGGCCACAGTCCTGCAAAAAGAGTAGAGAAAGCTGGCGGGTTAGCTCAGTTGGTCAGAGCAGGGTGTTACAACATTAAGGTCAAGGGTTGGAATCCCCTTACCCGCCAGATGCCAAAAGAAAAATAATAGTAGTGAAAACACTTCCCAAGCAACACAGTGGTCAGAGGCATGGGGAAACAAAACAAAAATCACAAGTATAATACAAATGCTTTAAAATATTATACACCAAACAAAGCCAGCTTCTCTTTCATGCTGCAAGTTGGTCTATGTTCTCTTTATTTCTGTTTGCTAGATGATCTTCAATAATTTCTGCAAACAGATTCCTCTTCAACAGATTATACGCAAGAAGTAAAAGCTGGCCAGCAACTTTATGAAAATAGTGTGAGCCATAGCAAAAAAGGTCCATTCCCAACTCAAGCCCCATGCCATAGTCACATTCATCATTAG